AAGCAGGCAGCTGGTATTCTATCAGTACTGAGTGGCCAGTGCAGTCACCAGATCTGAACCCTGTTGAGCTGCTGTGGGAGCAGCTTGACCGTATGGTACGAAAGAAGTGCCCATCCAACCAATCCAACTTGTGGGAGCTTCTTCTGGAAGCGTTGGGTGCAATTTCTCCAGATTACCTCAACAAATGAACGGCTAGAATGCCAAAGGTGTGTGTAAAACATTATCATCTGCAGCTTGAATCCAGATTTGCATTAACAGGCATCTCAACATCATCGGATTAATGTTTTTTTTGTTTTTTTAATGGATCCATAACTTACATATATACACATATATGCACTTTGCATCGGGTACAGGTCTTATTTAAAAAAACTACATGTCTGATTATCTGTACAAATAAAGGTAGAGCTAAACGAGTGTCATTAAAATCATACAAGTATCTCAGTTCTATAGCAATACACAGATTTCTGTACATCATAAAAATACAAGAGAGAATTTTAAATAAAGATACTTTTACTTGGCTCATAATATGCATGGAAAACAAAAGTTGCATAAAACACACACAGATTGTGTACATAGTGCTCGGGCGATAATCCCTCTTATAGATACAGTTACTGTAACTGCGGTTGTGAATCAGATGCTACAGTTACTGTGTGGAGTTCATTGTTCACATTGTTGGGATCCTCCTGAATTGTGCTGGATATCATCCACTGCTTGACATAGTTTGAATTTAAGTGCCTCTGCTCTGGAAAGGAGTTTGAGGGTGAGTCTGAAGCCCCGGGGCTGCTGCACTCTCCAAAGCCACTGTCGATGGTGTCCAAGTCCACGTGCGGGTAGCCGTCCTCCGAGTGTTCGTTTGACTTGAATGAGTCCAGAGACACCCTCTCTGCTTCCTGAAACTCAGCATCTGGCGGATAATTTTGGTTTTCCATTAATAAATCATTGGCAATTTGGTTTTCTCGTAGTGATATCCCACTTTGCCGGTCCATCTGCGACACTCGGGATTCCTCTAAATCATACGAGGCATTATCCCTGTTAGCGTCATCAAATGAGCCAAAACTTTCACCATCTTGGTAACTTCTGAACGAGCTCTGTGACGTCACCTCTCCCTCGAACTCTTCTCCAGAAAGAGTCACAGTGTGGATAGAGATGTGTCCTGTGGAGTGGACGGTGCCCTGTGACGTGCTGCTGTCCTGGAAATGCAGCAGCCGGTTGCTGGGAAGCTGCGCACCATGAGCAAAGTCATCACCATCTTTTACCTCGTGGTCCTCGCTGTAACTTTGCTTCTCGTTTCTCCAGCTGAGGATTTCGCTCTGCTTCTCGTTCATCATCGTGATGCATGTGGTTACCTTTAGGTAATCATACTCAGTGAACACAGGCTTCACCCATTCCTAAAGAACAAACAGAGTGGATTACTGATGAGAACTATACTGTTAAATAAAACAGAATTTCATTTAGAACAACTCATAACTGAACATATTCAAGAAACACATTTAAAACTGAATATTTCCATTTAATTTTGAGAAAAAAAGTAGCTCAAATGGGGGAAAAAAAGTATATCTTTAAAATTTTAGCTAACAATTTGTGCAGCATCCATGGAGTTATCTTACCAAGAACCCTTTAGGATCATTTTAACAACATTAGCTTCATACTCGAGTATTTGGTACGATGTTATCAGTCATTTTCATTATTGTGGAAACATTTCGATCAACTTTTCTACAGAACATTTCTTCCCTTTGTAAACTGTTGTATAGAGAACCACATGACAATGTAGTGACTGCATCTTGACCAAGTTAGGATAACTCTAAACCATACTACTGTAGTTTATGTTTATTTTATTTTTGGTTTTTACCAAAGAAATGACCAGAATCACTCTGACAAGGAGACATTAATCTACATAGTCTGTGGTGCTTTCAGATCAACCATTGTTAACCTTGGATGGAAGTTCTGAGAAAACTTGACAATGTTTGTTAAATGTTGTTTCCCTTTAAATAAACTGACAAAGCGACATATGATGAATTTCAGACAATTTTAAAATAGCATTCTAATGATTACCGGCTGTTGTATGGAAACTATTTTATCCTGCGTGGGTCATTGCTGTAGCCTCGTGAGACCATCATGATCTCGCAAGCTTTCAAGGTTTCACGAACGTCCAATCAGCGTTGGCTTTGAGGCGGGTTGAGGTGTGACGCAAGTTTTATAGGAATTACAGAGTATTTCTTCACTGAAAGAAGAGCAAAACACTGCTCTGGAGGCTTTTCTCAGAGGAAAAGATGTTTTTGCTCTTCTCCCGACTGGTTTCGGCAAGAGTTTGATCTATCAATTGGCTCCTCTTCGTCGTCGCTCTGTTAGTACGTCATATGCTTCATTGATCTGATTGGTTTTTTTGGCCCGTCTATCACCAACATAGGCCAATCAGCTAACCAGTATTTTCGCCCCTTCCCAAAATTACTTCAACGGAAGGTTTCCAGATGGATATGTGGAGCAAATCCATCTGGCGGAGTCAGGTTATCATTGCTGACCTCCACATCAATACTATAATACTCCAAAACAAAATGCCTGCTTGTGCAAAGATGGTCACTTTAGTATTAGTAGTACTAGTCTATGAATTTCCCTCTTGAATCCAGTCTAGGCTGCAAGGGTGTAATTACTTTTTCACATCACTAAACATGCTATTACTTCTCCTAAGAAGGCTCAGTGTTTCCCCTTTTCTACATAAAGTTAGTACCAACTAATCAGGTTTGGATAGTTTCTTGCATGACACCTTATGCAGATGATATTCAGTTTTATAAGAAATATTGATGATTTGGGCCAATGGTCACTGGACAACTCTAGGCTTCTCTCTTTGAAACAGCCACATAGCTTTCATCTAGACTGTAAAAAACAGACATATAGATTGAATCATTCTTTTTTCCAACCAATGTTGTGAAACACCAGTGAAAAATGTTTTATACTTCACAGTCTAACATCAGGTCATAAAACCACACTTCTAATACAGTTATGTTTATATTTCATTGCTCTCCCATCATGCCCATTGTTCTGAAACCTGAGGAGACCTTGCACATACACAACCTAACATGGTGGATTAATGTGGATCCCTCACTGCTGCCTGCAGAGTACATTTCAGCAACCTGTCTGATAATGTCTGCTACGGTTTGCATCTATCATTCAAACTTGTTCTCAGTTTAAGTTCTGAAATATGGAAACCTCTTTTAGGTGTTCATTTCCCCGGAAGTGTCACCCAAATGCCAAACGCTTAAAAAAAAATCTTAGTAAAAGCGAATACCTTGTACATGATAGTTTGGATTCACTTTAAAAATGTTTCCATCGCTTCTCAAACACATATTTTATGATGCAATATTTCATACTAAACAGAAGAGTTTTTGTTTCACGTAAAGGATGTGCTGATTAAGTATATGCTATTTTTAAATAAGCAGATAGCAGATGGCAAAAATATCAATTTCGACAACTATAAGGTGAACTTTGATGCTAATTTAATGTGCAAGCTGTCCTCTGATGCACTGAGGCTTTTAAAGCAGTTCAAAGACTTCAGTTTAACGTAAGGCAAATGCAGCCACCTATAGCCTGAGATGACCAGATAAACTCGAATCAGTTTTTGACGCCAGGGCCACCACATCCTGCCTACAAAAGCTCATGAACTACGCTCTGAATCTGTACATCAACGAAGACGCCAGCAGTCTGCACCACAAGGATGTGAGATACGGCAGTAGTGCAAGAGCAGCCTTAGAAAGGGGAACTAAGTCGCAGTCACTTTGTAGACGCAGACGCACAAAAAAAGAAGCGTGCTTAAAATAAATAAAAACTGTTCACATTTGCTTGTTTCTACTCTGGTTGGTTTTGTAAAGTAAATATAATCTGGGACTGCTTTTACAAAAACAAAAAAACAAAAAGTTTTTTTTTTTCAAAAGAAGTTTAAAGCTGAAAGATTTTCTAAGTTTCTTAGACTGCTGTTAAGATTTAAAGTAGAAATAACATAAGTGGAAAAAAGACCTTATCTTTCATGGTTTTTTTTCTAACGCCTCCATTTCCTTATGGGGAAGCTTTTGTGGGGTAGCCTGTTCCTATGTTGCCCTCTGCTGAGCAAAGTATGGTATTACAGCTGGTTATCAAGGCGCGTTAAAAAACATCTTTTTTGTGTGTGAAAGTTTCTGATTGACTGAAATGATTGAGTCCCAGCCTAACAAGTATAGTATAGGAAAATTTAGTTCAACAGCTTCTTTAGTCACTTATTTTCACAAGACACACATTTTCAAGTTCACACAAATTTCCAAACTTCTCCTGGACGTGCATTTCTTTTTTACTCCACCCTTCTACTGAATTATAGGTACTGACCAGGAGATGGCACTTCTCTTTAGATCTTAATGTCCACAAATCATGACAGAGAGAATATTTTAGTACAAAGATTGATATTTAAAAAGGAATTGTAGGGGACCAGCCAAGGGCCCATCAAGGAAAGTGGGGACATTCTGAATGTCTACTACTGTAACGTTTTTGGTGAATTGCTGCATTTAAAAATGATGCAGAATGTTGCAGCAAAATGAGAAATTACAGGTCTAACAAGCTACTTTTTTGTTGTAATAGTCAGTCCCAGAGCGATACAGTAAGACTTGTTTGGGGATTTCTTACCATTAACTTGCCCAAATAACTCTAAGAAGCAATTCCATCACTTTCCTTTGTTTTCTGATTTTGTGAAAGTGCTCTGAGCCAGAGCTTCTATTTTCTCATGCTCATGAATCCGCTTTCCGTTTTCACAGCCATCAGCCACTTGCAGTAGATGTCCTCTCAAACTAAGTCTAGTTTTGCTTCTTTTGAAAAGCTAGAAGATGCTGTTGCCATATGCTTGATCATGTAGAATTACTATTGTAAAGTAAAGAATTAGTGCCATCTGCTGACTGTCTTTATAAAAACCTGCAAGCAAGGTTAAAAGCACTTTGAGAACATCTCAGTCTGAATGTATTAAGTTATAATAAAGCCAGTATGCTTGGACTGACTTGAGACAGCAGGGTTGTTTTTTTTAATAGTCTTTAATGATGTTGACCCAATTGATTTTGTTCAAAATGTGCATAAACCCATGCATTAGTATCTTCAAACCTTGGATCTTATGCTAAAGGAGTTGAACTTGGTTACTTTGTTGTTGCCTGCATAGAAGACATTTTGTAAATGGAAAATGTAAAAATTCAAATGAGAAATTCAACTTTAAAAAAACTTCTCAATCAAAAAAAGGTTTTAATAGAGACTTGTTTCTTAGATTTTTTAATTTCTCTTTTTATTTTATTGCTATTTTAAAATATAGATTAAATTTAAATTTTTTTCAGACTTTAATATTTAAATGATTTGCTACCTAAATCCCTATACGAATGATCAATGTTGTCTGAAAAATGCTGTTGCTAACTTCCAGCACCTCCAGAGGAGAAGAGAACAGAATCTGATCTGTAAAATGCAATTTGAAAATAATGATATTTGTATACTTATATCGGAAAGAAGGAAATGTTAAAAAAAATTTAATAAAATTGAATAGAATGAAAGATAATATGAAATCTTTTGTATAAAATAAACATTTAAAATTTTAATCTGACTAAACTAAATTACTCTTAATCTTTTCTTTGTTAAGAATTCTGTTTTAATTTCATTTCTATATTGATTTTTTATTTTTTTATTTTTTATTTTTTGTTGTAATTTCCACTTACAAGACGCGTTTTTTGGTGTAACAATAGCGGAACAAAATTAGCTCCATAATTCAGGAGGAGCATATCCTGTAAATATGGGACTAGATTCAATCATTTGGTTTACATTAGAAATAAACAACTTTTTAACCAATCTGACTTTATGATATGGTTGAATTGTATCTGTAAAGTACCTTGAATTTGCATATTTTGTGAATTGACTATATATAAATAAAGTGAGTTGAACTGAATAAAATATAACATGGAACATAACATCAAGTAGAAGGGTAAGATAATGTAGATACACATCACACATATATGTTTGAAGGAAACTGAGTCCTGAACAGCCGCCTACGCAGCAGCATAATCTGACTGCTGATATATAAAAATAGCAGACATCAAAAGAGTAAATTTACATTAGGGGGAAAATGAAAAAGTTAAAGAGCAGAGATAACCATTCAACCGTTGTGAAAAAAAAAAATAAAAAACGTAAACCACGACTTTTTCACTATGTCTCCATCAGGTAAAAAAAAAACAGGCTGTTTTTAGTGTGACACCATGGCAAATCAAAGACCTGAAACAGACTTTCAGGGGGTAATTTCCAGTGAGGTGGAACAGCTCTGACTGACTGAGACAAATATCCTCCCACAGTTTGTCAGGCTCATGAAGCCCCTGCAGAATGAGTCATGCACATCACTGAGTCCCTTCAACCTGCAGGGGAAGGGAAAGTCCCAAACAGGGTCCAGATGTGCAGTAAGTCCCCTCTTCAGCAGCACCTGCTGGGCTATATTGGAAACTACAAACAATGTGAAAGTGTACTTTTGTTTTCCCTTACCGTGAAATTCCCATCATAGTTTTGGTAGAGGGGCTTGAAAAATTCATGGGGTCTGGGGATGTATGTGATCATTCTGAGTTTTTTCAGCCAACACCTGAAAAAACACACACAAAAAAACATGAAAAAGTTTATAAAGAGATTAGCTTTTGACAGTTGACCAAATTTTGTCCTTTTTTATAAGCAAAACCGAGAGACCCTTTGTCTATTTCAGATCTAACATAAAAAAAAAAACAAGAAAACAAAAAAAACATCTACTGTAATTATCTAGTACCGATAATTATTTGCCTAATTATTGAGGATGTAAAAAAAAAAAAATAATAAAAAGCCAGCAAATAAAGCAGAACTAAAGAGCTGAGCTGGTTTAATAATAGGCCTCTGCATCCTAAATGTTCAAAGGAGGGTTATCATAGATGCTCCTTTCCGGCTGCTCTAGATATCACTACTTCCAATAAAAACGATATTTAAACTGATTTCTGCACACGTTTCCCAATAATTAGAGGCTGTCCCTGGAACCTCTTCTGGACTGAGATCTCTGATGTTTCTCCAGGAAACTGTTTTCCAGTCTAGGGGTTCCCAGAGCCCCACTGACCACGGGCACTACAGTCGCCTTCACCTCCAGGCTCTCCGGTTCTTCCCTGAGCCCTTCGTCTCCAATTTTTTAATGATCTTTTATTGCTGATGTTTCTATCATTTGGGAGGGCCACATTGATCACTACAGCGGACCTCTCCTGCTTAGCAATGGTCAAAATGTTCAGTTGTTTGGCCAAAACAATCTTTTCTTTTTGTATCTGGAAGTCCCACAGCATCTTTACACTATACCACTTTGTTTATATATATATATATATATCTGTCCAGGGACATCGGGTTGTTAGTATGTCAATTGTGTCCGATTTGAAGCAACCTGGAGCAATGACACAAACACTCGGCCTTAAGCTAAAGTAAACTGCTTTATATTGGCTGCTTTTCAGCAAATCCCAACTCTTAAAACTACTGTTTTCGTCTCATATAGGGACAGTAACGTTAGCAAAGCATCTTTAGACTAACTGTTGTTCTCTTAGAGTTAAGAATTGGTTAAGTGAAGCCCACATTTAATATATAAGTTTAACACAGTTATGAATGTGTTTTGATAGCACTGGAAATATGTGTAAAATAATGATTAATGTTCAATTTGGAAGTATGTATGCTAAGCTAACATTAGCATCGCACTCATTCATGTCTTAACAGACATTTACAGTTAAAGTTTAAATCTACTGTTAAGAATTGTTCATTTTGTGTCCATCATTGTGTTTATAAAATTGTCAGCTGTTGACAGAGATGTTGTTTTTGTATAAAAAGTCAGACATCTGTTTTTGGAGGAAACAGAGGTTAGCTTAAAGATGCTTTGCTAACATGAACTATTGGCTACAACCAGAAAGAAAACAGTTCTGTTTTTAGAGGCAGGACTTACAAATATTTATATATAGTAAAATTATGTCCACGGGTTTAAATCATGTAATAATTTTTAATAAAATAGTGTAAAGCATATACTGCCTTTGTTGAAAACCTTGCTTTTAATAATCAGAAACTCTTCTTCAAATATGTAAGTTCATCCCATAAGCGCATCCCTTTGTTTGAATTTTATATATAAATTTGTTGCTGTTGAAGTCTATTTATTTTGTGTATTTGAATGTAAAAATTACTTAATAAACTAAATTATACACATTATTATTTTTTTTTTTTTACCCATTTCTCTATACAGTTATGTTAATTTTAGTTTCTATATCTACTTGAAACTGTAATGGCAGTTTAATAGTTAAATGTGTGAAATAGTCTACATGACTATTGTCTAGTCATTGTGGTCGTCTACGGTGGTTTTTCAAGCCCAGTTTTCTCAAAGTTTAATTTTGCACGATTAATACACAGACTTATAATTGGTAAAACAAAGGTTGTTGTTGAATTCTACCTATTTCATTGAAAGCTAATATAAGGCCAACTTATCTGGAAATATTTCAAATTTTCATCTGAATAAGGATGATAAATAATACTTTATTATTTTAACAATATATTTTCAACAAAAAAATATTATTAAAAAAATAATAATGAAAATCATAAATTCAGTAAAAATAAAATATATTGTATTTTTGTATTTATTGTAGCATGCGAAAGTCATCAAATCATGCTGTAGTTGTCTCCAGGTCAGTTACAACATCTTTGCATTTTGATGCAAACTTTAAATGATAGTTTCTTCAATCAGATCTAAATTTATTTTGACTATTAACAGAGAGATGTAGGTTTATTGTAGAAAAATTGGCTTTGCATAATTAAAAAAATCTAGTGTCAAATCTAGAGTAACAGAGCGAAATATAACAAAATCTGGTGCATCTGACCCCAATCTCACCACATTTCTTCCTTGAACATGTCCTTTTCTGTATTTGCTTTTTTTATTGTTGCAAGTAATGACTTTATGCTGGTCTTTGTGTTTTTTTTTTACATTTATAAACCCTTTAAAAATCATGACATGTAATTCTGGTTTAAAAAACAAGACCAAACATGGCTGTCGTATAAATGATTACAAAGCATTTTGCTGAATGGATGAGTCAGAGTTTGATCTTAACATTTGATAATAAAATATCCCACGCTCCAACTCAGAACAAGATGATAATGATCATCATCATAAAGTTTTATTAACCAGAAGGCAGAGATTGAGAACAAAACTTGTCAACTGGAGGTTGGTTTTTGCGATTTCCCGAAAAAGGACCCAAAACAAAACAAGAAATCAAGACGTCGCCTGAGTTCTGTTTAAATTCCTCTTATAAGCTCTATCCCTTTCAGGGCACATGCTATGAATTGAAAACATGTTGGTTCTATGGTAGAAATTGTCTTTTAGTTATCCTATATGCTGATGACACCTCTGTATTTTATTCTAATGACATTTATAGTTGTTTCATTAACGATGTTAATACTGAACTTGTTGAAGTTATGAACAATTTATCTCAAAATTCAGATAAAAAGGTAGCAATGCTATTATGAAATTAAGACCTATTACCAAACAGAGATACAGTGTTGGTATAGATACAGTAAATAAAATGGAGACACATAAAAAGCAAAGTTTCTAAAAGGATCTTAGTTATTAGCAACATTAAATAATTTTAGAATATACTAGCACTGTGCTTCTGTATTGCTTATTAGTTTGGTGTCTGAATTTGTAAATATAAGTCAGCAAACTTAAATAAATGTAAGCTTTGATTGTGTTTCTTTACACAAGTTTAGAATCTGTGACCCCTCATGAAGCTTTTATACTGCTCACCGGTTGGTGGCAGCAGTGCACCTAAAAGTTGTCCAAGCCGACAGAACGCAAAAGTAGAACAAAAAAACTGAAAATTGGGTAAAATAACTGTTAGTAAAGATAGATGTGCAGGTGTGAGTTTGTAAACGTAAGCCAATAAACAAAAAAGTAATAAATAATAATGGTATTAGTTCCTTTTTATAAAACCTAACATCAGATTTTCATCTGTGAGAATCGAAGTTTAAAAGCTATAAATACAAGTTAGAACTTTGCAAATACAAAAGTAGCATACTTATAACAAATATATGAGTATGAATCTACAACCCCAGATGACGCTGTTACACCAGTGGGTGGCAGTAATGCACCTAAATGTTGTTTACCAACTAGCATTAGTCAAAAGAAGAAGAGGAAGACGACATAAAAAAAAAATTCTGTAGGCGTTTCTCAATTCACGAGAACGCGAGTACGTACTCGCGTTCTCGTGAATTGAGAAACGCCCTGTGCTTCTGGATCATCATCTTTCTCCCTGTTAAGCAGTGGTTGGTAACCGCCTTCAGGTGCATTACTGCCACTACCTGGTTAGGAGTGTAAACTCAGGCATACACGCAATGAGTTTATGCCCTTTTCAGGCCGATTTTTCAGTCGGGCGACCATTTTTTGGATCGGGCCAAGTTTCAGCCTCATTTTTCGACCAGCGGCGTGTTGTATACACTGGTTAACGAGGGGCAGTTAGCCTCTCGCCTCCGCCTCCCAATCAGGAATTGTAAGGCCTTCGTAAGGTATTCTTGATTTACCAGAACCTTGCGCACTCCGCATGTGCAAACAAGGGAGTTCTTCTTCTTCTTGCTCCAAATTGTCGAGTTGTTTGGTTTTTGGACGTTCAGTGTGAGCAATTAGATCGCACCAGAGCATCGGGCGGTACAGTGTAAGAACATACATCGTGAGCTGTGAACTTTTAAACCCTGCAAATTCATCATACAGTTTAATCTGTAGCTGAGTACAACGATTGAAAAAAATCGTACCATGTATTCCTGACCTAACGGCTTCATTGGGGGGTTGTAAATTCGTACTCATACATTTCTTACAAGGACTTGTATTTTAGCAAAGTTGTAACTTGTATTTGTAACTTTCAAAAATTGTAATCTAAGATTAAATGTGATGTCACATGTATGAAAAAGCTGAAAACAAGGAACAAATATCTTAAATGTATTTTCATTAACTGTCCTACATTTACAAATTCAGACGCTTTTTTGACAGCTGTTTTACTCCATAGTTAAAAACGGCAAAAACTAAAGCAAAGGAGTGATTTTTGCAGAAGGTGGTGTCTAAGTCACATATTCGTCCTCAGTGTGGATTTTAAGGTCAATTTTATTATTCTAAGGAGTCTGATATCAAAACTGAACGCAATAAACAGATATTCACTGATTAGGCTTTATTCTGTTTGTGAGTGCACCAGAAAGCAGTTTTTATTGTTGCAATATCATCAAAAACAAATTCTATTTACAGGGTTCCCGCAGGTCCTTAAAAAGTCTTAAAAGGCATTGAATTCTTCAAAATAAANATTAGTCAAAAGAAGAAGAGGAAGACGACATAAAAAAAAAATTCTGTAGGCGTTTCTCAATTCACGAGAACGCGAGTACGTACTCGCGTTCTCGTGAATTGAGAAACGCCCTGTGCTTCTGGATCATCATCTTTCTCCCTGTTAAGCAGTGGTTGGTAACCGCCTTCAGGTGCATTACTGCCACTACCTGGTTAGGAGTGTAAACTCAGGCATACACGCAATGAGTTTATGCCCTTTTCAGGCCGATTTTTCAGTCGGGCGACCATTTTTTGGATCGGGCCAAGTTTCAGCCTCATTTTTCGACCAGCGGCGTGTTGTATACACTGGTTAACGAGGGGCAGTTAGCCTCTCGCCTCCGCCTCCCAATCAGGAATTGTAAGGCCTTCGTAAGGTATTCTTGATTTACCAGAACCTTGCGCACTCCGCATGTGCAAACAAGGGAGTTCTTCTTCTTCTTGCTCCAAATTGTCGAGTTGTTTGGTTTTTGGACGTTCAGTGTGAGCAATTAGATCGCACCAGAGCATCGGGCGGTACAGTGTAAGAACATACATCGTGAGCTGTGAACTTTTAAACCCTGCAAATTCATCATACAGTTTAATCTGTAGCTGAGTACAACGATTGAAAAAAATCGTACCATGTATTCCTGACCTAACGGCTTCATTGGGGGGTTGTAAATTCGTACTCATACATTTCTTACAAGGACTTGTATTTTAGCAAAGTTGTAACTTGTATTTGTAACTTTCAAAAATTGTAATCTAAGATTAAATGTGATGTCACATGTATGAAAAAGCTGAAAACAAGGAACAAATATCTTAAATGTATTTTCATTAACTGTCCTACATTTACAAATTCAGACGCTTTTTTGACAGCTGTTTTACTCCATAGTTAAAAACGGCAAAAACTAAAGCAAAGGAGTGATTTTTGCAGAAGGTGGTGTCTAAGTCACATATTCGTCCTCAGTGTGGATTTTAAGGTCAATTTTATTATTCTAAGGAGTCTGATATCAAAACTGAACGCAATAAACAGATATTCACTGATTAGGCTTTATTCTGTTTGTGAGTGCACCAGAAAGCAGTTTTTATTGTTGCAATATCATCAAAAACAAATTCTATTTACAGGGTTCCCGCAGGTCCTTAAAAAGTCTTAAAAGGCATTGAATTCTTCAAAATAAAATTAAGGCCTTAATTGGTAGTAAAATGTCTTAAATCAGTCTTTAGTAGGTCTTAATTTTTAAAACATCATAAATAGGATTGTTTTTATTATAATTTATTTTTGTAATCTAAATAAAACATTAAAATTGACAAAAAAATTTTTTGTTCCACCCTTGTCTCTGTAACGCCTCCACTTATCACCAAATCAAACATACTAAGAAAACCATACAAAGAAAAATAGCTGCAAAAAAGTCTTAGCACTGGTTATGTTGGGGCTTTAAGACTGATTAGTTTTGTTTCCTGCTAAAACAAAGTTTGTGAATTCAGTTAAATAATTGTTAAAATATATCTGTCATTTGTGTGTTTCTAGCTTTCTTCCTGTATGGGAAGCTTTTCAAAATGTGAAACATTAGTGCAGTGGTTTATGTTTAAATAAACCTTTGGGTTAAGTTGTCGCAAGCAGGTTTTTCTTGTGTTTCTTGTGAATTTGGTCTTAGATTTTTATTTCAAGTGGCATTAAAAAGTCTTGCATTTAACTTGCCTTATGCTGTAGGAACCCTGATTTAAAATCTGTTTAGTCTGGAATTAATTACTCAGCTGTATTGAAGCTAAATAAATTGATGAAGGAATGCTCCACATAACAAGGAGCTCCTTTGTAAAGACCGTCAAGGAGAGTAAAGGCATGCCAAAACTCAAAGTGTGAAAACTGCTTCTCACACCTCAATTGTTACACCATCGTTACATAAAAAAGAGCAACATTTATCCGGTTGGTTACTCTTCCGAGTCTGTGTTTGCTTCTTGAAAGTGTGGAGAGCCAAAGCAAGTTGCTCTTGCTTCTGTGATGCTCTGCTGCAAGACTTCCTATGCCTGTGAGCCATTCAGTGCAACAGGCCGCTGCACGTACTGCGCTGCCGTGGTTTCTACATATGTGGGAGGTGATGCCAGGAATCAACTAATGCGGTGAGACTTTTTTGCTAATCATTTACTGGAAGGCAGTATGATGCTGACCTTCAGTCCTTCACTCCACTTTATCAGCTCATTTTTGTTTAATCAGGATGCGATTGAACAGAGCGTTAAAAGAGAAGTTTCAATGAATTTCTTTAGTCTTGAAAACATTCTTCTTGGTAAAAAGACTAAAATCAGTCAAGTCAGTGGGGGAATCCCGTTAAAGACGCACACCGCTGCAGTGTTTGAAGGTACTCACGGTTTTTGTAGGTATCCCAATAACAGGAGGGCGAGGAAGAGAATGATGGGCGTTGATATGTAAAGCCAGTAAAAATTTATTCCTGGTAAATCTGCAAATGATAAATACATTTGATTTGAGTGTTTTACATGTAAGAAAAACTTTAGTTTTGACCTAAGATGCATAGTTCAAAAGGAGTAGGTATAACATTCTCCACCTTCTTCCTCCAGAGAAGCTTTCGCTGTGATCCACTGGACACCAGAACTCCATTCGCTCCACGGACCCTGAAGGTAGTAATCAGGACAGTGTTTTGCCCGAACGTCCACAATGTAGGCGGTGTCAGGTCGGAGGATTTCTTCACTTAGCCTAAAGTATTTCTCTTTTCCCTGTACCTCATTGATTATATCCTGTTTGTCAGAGAGGAGAAGCACAACTCAGCAGGACATCATCGGCATACGATTTGACTTTATCAGTTATTGTCACAGCAACTGGGATTTTAGCTCCAGCTGTGCTTTTTGCACACATATTACCTGAAACAGGTCTGTTGCATTTCTTATGCGGACTCCGTATATCAGGCATCCTTCCGAGGTGTCGCTCCAGGTAATGTTGTAGAATCCAGGGTCTGTAGCATTTGCCACTTTGATATTAACAGGAGGTTCAGGTTTTACTGAGAAAAAAAAATCAAGAGGGGGTCAGAAGAAACTGGGGGTTAAAAATGTGCTTCATCCAACAAATCTTCAGTTGCCAAAGATAGGTGACCTTAAAACAGTCCTCAGATGGATTTTTTTTTCTTAGTTTTTTTGAAGTTTTACGTCACTTGGTTATCAGCTCAGCAGAAATGATGCGTACTGTTATGAGTTACTATCTGTTGAACGTACCCACTTGAGAGATCGCCCATCGGAATGACTCACTGAGTTCTACCCATCCTTCGCTGCTGGGCAGGCTGACTGTAGCAGAGCAGATGTTGTCAACTGAAGCAACTAAGTAGAGATTCTCTTCAACGATAGAGCACCAAGAATGTGGTGGTTTGATCTCACAGCTGCCTTTAACCTCATCGTCACTATCATCACTGTAAAAGAACAATCCGCCGTTAGGAGAAGACTTTGCTGCAGGCAGAGACAAATAAAACACCTGCTGTTTGGTCAGAGCATAAAAAGATAACGAATATCAATCATAATGTTCACCAATGTTCAAATCCCGCATGGACTTCTTATGAATGAATCCAGTAATGTGGTTCAGATATCAAAGTCTAAGTTTAACCTTAAATATTTATGTTTTTTTATATCAACACACTTTTTGGAGGATGTTTTCTGGCATAAAAAGCTCTCATTTTCAAATGCACGATGGGAAAGGAAAGGCTTCCTATTATTTTACCATTTATCATGGTTTCATATTTACAGAGTTTGTTTGTAATAAGTCAGGGTTCCCTAATTTGGGCCCTCCAGGTCCGCTGTCATGTACCTTTTAGATGTCTCTGCTTCAACAAACCTGAGTCAAATAATTACCTACTGAGAGGACAATATGGAGGAGTTCTGGACACAGAAACACATCTAAAATTTGCAGAACACCGGACCTCCAGGACCCTGCAATAAACTAAGTAGAGGTAGGTGGAGTTCCCAAAACGTTTATTTAAGAGAGATTAGCACTATTAAATTAGCATTTTTTTACTCAAGCAAAAGTAAAGAGTGTAATTAGGAGAAAAGGCAAACGGCTATTCAAATACTGAGAAACGTTTGGCTCGTAACATCTGACTTAATGTTTAATATTACTTAATCCGACAGCTATGTGCAAATTCTGGTATTTTAGAGCAAAGGAAGAATCACACAGGTAGCCTGCAGATTCCTGGAAATACATCAGACGTCTCGGTCCAGAAGAGTGCAGTTCTAGGAACAGCAAAGACACTGCGCAGAACCCTATATATATATATATATATATATATATATATATATATATATATATATATATATATATATATA